CTGTTCCTGTTATTCATTAATGATATTTCTTCTATAATAAAACATTCCAAAAATTTTAATGTATGCCGATGATGTGAAACCTTTTAAAACATTGTCCTCGGTCGAAGAAAATTATATGCCACTAAACCTTAAAAAATGTAAACTTATAGGTTTCTCTCGGAGGGCTGTTGAGTCAGCTGTTTATTCAATATCAGATTATAATCTGGAGCTGGTATCCGATTTTGTCGATCTTGGTATCACAATGGATTCCAAACTCAATTTCAACCTTCATATTAATATTACAGTGAATAAAGCCAAAGGCGTTATTGCATTTGTAAAGCGATGGTCAAAAGTGTTCAAAGATCCTTATGTCACAAAAGCTCTTTTTGCCACTTTAGTTAGACGTATACCAGAATACGGATCTATTGTTTGGAATCCCCGCTACCAAGTTCATTCAGAAAGGTTTAAATCAATTCAAAAACAATTCTTGCTTGTTGCATTGCGCGATTTTAACTGGGATTCAGATTACAATCTCCCCCCTTACACAAGTCGTCTAATAAAAGCTTAAACAGACGGCAGCGTTGATCCGGATTAACTCGGACTTAATCCGGATCAACCGCAGTTAATTCCCGAGTTGATCGGGATCAACGCTGCTGTCTGTTTATATGCTTTTAAGCGCATAAATTTGCCTACACTCGCAAGTCATAAAGAAATTCTAGGTATAATATTTATCGTAAAATTAATGACAGGCTTGATTAATAGCCCGGCCCTCCTGGCTGAGGTAAATTTTAATGTTCTCTCTCGAGTATCAAGCCACTTTCGACCTCTGTTTTTGAAGCCATGCAAAACTAATTTTGAACTAAACGAATCATTCCGTTGTTTAAGTCAAGATTTTAACTCTCATTCCAGCACGTTTGACATATCGGACTCGATTTTTACTATAAAGAAAACTATCATTTCCGCTCTCAATTATTGAAATACTATCTGATGAATTTGTTTCTGTATCTGAATAGTTTCAGATCTCGACACCTAACAAAATTCTGTTTCCACTACTCGGCACAAAAGACCAAAAAAAAAGAGTTCCGTACGTCATGCAGACTGGGCCCCGCGTGTCG